TAGCAAGAAAAAGCGGTTGCAGCACATCAGAACTGGGAGGCTACAGTAGCTAAATTCCTGGCGTTCCTATATGAGTGTGTGTTTACTGGCAAGACAGTCTTTGCTCAGTTATCTAGGGCATAAGCTGCCTTCTGTATGTGAAATGTGTACTTCTTTCTAATTCCAGACCACGTGATCCGAGTGACTCCTAATTACACTCTTCTGTTTGTGTTACATTTCTTCCCTAAAATTTTGTTCAGGAATAATTATTAACTGTAAGTGCTTCCTTTAGAGCTACTGTTAGTTTTAAGGGCAATCCATGTCTTCAATTCTATTTGATGAGAAATTTCATAGAATACATATGAACATTCATTTCATTCTAGTTCAGAATGAAGAATTTCTGTACAAATCTAAGGCTCCAGCATCTCAGCTGCACATACCCTATGTTACAGGAAGTGAATGGTATCCAACTTCGTTTTCCGATAACAGTACTATGACAATGTTAGCAAAATTTACAAGGAGAAACATACCTGGACTACAAATTTAAGAGGGAATAAACAAGTGACTTACTAACTACACCAATAATTTGATTAATTTCATTGTATCTACTTAGGAATTGTCCTGTCAGATTTTTCTTCTTCAAGGAACAGAAGCAAAGCCCTTAAATCTAGCATGAATGTATTGGTCTTCTGTTATTACAAGTCCCTGTCTTCTTGAATTAAAGTAAAAAGAGAAATGGTAGGGGTTTTTCTTAAAACATTTCCCATTTCTTACTAAAATTTCCATAATAAGAATGCCATATCTGATAAAGTTATCCCAGTAGGTGACTAAGCACTGAAACAAAAGAATTAACCAGTGAGGAATCAGAGAGGGTTGGTTTTTTTGCCATCAGATTTTAAACATTTTTAAAAGCCATGTTGGTCAATTTACATTTTATACATACTTGATAGAATGGCACATTAAGATAAATGAACACATTGTGATGCCTTCCAGTGTTACAAGGGTGACAAACAAAATTTGGAGATCCACGTATGCTTGAAAGAACCGTACATTTGTTTAAATAAACTCATAGAAAACTAACAAAACAACCGTAAAACAGATTTATAAACAGGTAAAATGAATAAACTGTAAAAATACTGCATCTCCCATAAACATACTCTGTGGTTCCACCACCTTGTGGCCAACATAAAAAGTTGCAGTTTTGCTTCATACGGTGCATGCTGATTGCCTTGTATTAGCAACTGACGGTCAGAACTGAGGCAGGCAGTGGGCATCAGCAAATATAGTCAACACACTGCTGTATTTTGCCCTTAGCCAACACACTGAAAAAATAGCAGCATTAAAATACAGCCTGAAATAGCTTAGCTACTACCTCAACTTGTTAAAATTGTGCAAGAATAAAGAACACCAGCAGCATTTTAATGGATGTGTTTCAATTTGGTTTCGAAGGCTCCCCTCCCACACAAAGCACACACAACACAAAGCTGAAACTGATCTAGTAACTGTTACTTCTTGTCCATCTGTGAAAACTTTCCCCATAGTTTTCTTTACTTAACTTTTTTTAATTTTACTTAAAACCTTATTCAGTGTTAAAAAAACCCGTAAGAATTTAAAAATAGTTTCTAAATGCCAGGAAACTGATGCTTATTCCTCTCCTTAAACTGGAGATACACAGACTATCCTAATCACCTGAATTTCTTTAGTTAAAAGTTTTAACGTTTCAGATTCCTGTTACTGAAAGCTACATTTTTAGAAAGGTCTCTCCAACACACTAGAAACTGAAAGCACATAAACTCCCAGTGCAGATGTAAGTTTGCTCTTATGGTGTTTATATTGTACCTTTTTGATACAGAAAATGGAAGAGTTAGGTTTTCTGACACAACTCGCAAGGGAATATATAAGAGTAGAAGGCCTTCTCTAAAGCCAAGTTTTGCAGTTCCCTTTTTGTTGAAGTATGATAAGGCTTATTAAAAAAAAAACAACAGAGTAAAAAAAAAAAAAAAACAAAACAGAGTAAAAAAAAAAAAAAAAACAAAACAAAAACCACAACCAAATTCCCTGGGAAAATAACATAAAAGCCTTTTGGAAATACTTAATTTCTGAAAACATAAGACTATTTGAAAAAACTTAATTGCGAAATCAAAGGAAATTCAAGAAATCAATTTTCATATTTCAAATCAGTCCATGATTTCATCATCAGCAATAAGATGCACTATCTTTTCCAGCCCAAAATTACCAGCTTTGGGGAAAACATACTCATACTTAACAGAAATAATTAACGGGTTAAGTTAAATTAACATTTTTCCCTGATCCACATGCCTGCATGTTAGATAACGTTACATTAGAACTGAGCATTGTAATGAGAGACTAAAAGCAACAACCTGTAACAGTAACCAAAGCAAAAGCAATTTTCTCATGGTTACATACTATAGATCAGTAATTTAATATTAACTTCCTATATAAATAAAAGTAAAAAAGTTGGGCAAAAGTAAATTGGCACAGTCATTATGGTATTGCTTTCCAGTTTCAACACTGCAAAGAGCAGCCACAGATTCCAAACACTGAAAGGAAAAGGCTATCGCCCAACCACCTGGTGTAACTTGGTTGGGTTTTTTTTTTTCCCTTTTAAATGAAGGCATCAGCAGTGCTGCTGCCTCAGATGGATCAAACAACAGCTTGGAACAGGCAGGTGTGCAGCTTGCAGTAAAAGGATTGCTATAGAACCACTATGTGAAAATGAGAACAAATACATAAAAACAAAACCATAGAGTGTGGTTTACTGGTCTGCGTGACTTTAAGTCAGTGTTTTTCAGGATTGTGACTAATTTTTACCTTGAAAAAGGCAAAATAATAATTATAGAAAAAAAAAATCTTAAGCCTTCAAGTTTCCTTGCCTTCATTCCCTCCCTCCCCCCAAAAAGCACCTCCTACTATAAACACTTCTGTTTTACGGGTTCAGAAGTTGGAATGTAGTGGAAATACATACAAGAGAGAAGGAATTTCTAGTTGTACATTACATTACAAAGAGGTTTGCTCCCAGACCTAAGGAGGGAGGGATACTAAGCAATATTAAATTCCTATAAGAATCCTTACAAAGCATGCAAAATATTGATATACTCACAAAATTGAAATTTATATTGGTTCCTTTTTGAATTTGCAACTTCACAGTACAATAATTTCTAATATTATGCAGCAGTCAGAATTACAGTGACTACAAAATCATTTTGTCTTTAATTTTTTTTTTCCATTTGTTTGAAAGACTACTTTGTGATTTTTTTTCTTTTTAATTGAGAGGTTGCAGGTCACCCATCAGAAAATGTGAAATTCAGCATAGCAGGGGTTGCTTTCTTTGTGGTATTTCCCCTCAAACAATGTTGACAACTCTTGTCAGTCTTTCAAAACCTGTCCCTCCCTCTCCTTCCCATGCTGATTCCTTCCCTTGTCTTCAAGCTGTACTTTTCTTCTCGCCAGCACGATGATGGACGGTTGCCACTAAATGGATGCTGCATAACTGGGTAGGAAGTGAAGGGTACTGGAGTAGTTTATGAAAACGGAATCGCTCCCACCCCCACAAGATGCTTGGCACAACTGCTTCATAGCCAGAATACTTTGCTCTGGATACCAGCAATTAGATTATGCTTTCAGTTCCCTAGACAAATATTGCTGCCCTTTGTGCCTATGTAACCCCTGCGGCTTTAACTGGTTTAGGCCGGGAAACAAAAAGCTGCTGTTTGGCTGGCCCTTCTGAACTGCTCTGTGTAGTTCCACAGAAATTTCTTCACTGCTCTTATTTAAAACAGGGTTGGAATTTCTGGAGAATACACAACGCATGCTACTTGCTAGATTGTCCATAAAGTACATTCTGACACATTTTTTCAAAGTATTTGTAACTATCAGAAAAAGACTCTTGTAGAAGCAATGTACAAAGCCTCCAAAAATTCAAGTATCAAAAAACAGGGGTTTTGATAAAAGCTTGGAGTAAGCAGCCAGCCAAACTGATAGCTGTTGGGTTTTTTTTGTCCACAAATGCAGTGATAACATCTTTTCTTCAGAGTGTTGGGAATTAACAGTCTTCCCAACTCATTTTCATGGAGTTTGGTGGGGTTCAGGGAATTTAGCAATCCTGCCTGGATAATACTGCTCCTGCTTTTACTGCTTTTATATGCAAACAAATAACAGAATCACAAGCAGAATCACTGACTAACCCTCCCTGCCTCTCTTTAATTTGCTATATTAATTTATAGCGTAACATCACTGGGCCTGGCGCCCTTAACCCAAGAAAACCCATCAGAAGTGCAACACAGGCAAGAGCAGGGCATCTCTTTC